GAGAGAGAGAGAGAGTGCTTCGCCCCCTTTTTTCTTTTCCCATTCTTGCGTGTGCCGCAACTCCTCGCTGCGGCAGAGGCGTGCGTGCCCTTTCGCCGCTCGAGACTCCCACGCAGGACTGCAAAATAGGTCCGGAACTCCGCCTCTGCTCAGCCCCCCATTATCGACTCGCGATTACCCAGTTACGGGATACGGGAGTGAGTAATACGGTAGGTATCATCGCGCTGTCCCGGTCCCGGTCTTGGTCCTATTCGCGTCGTCACTACTGTGCGATGATGATCTGAGGCTGGGGCTGGGGGATGCATCGTTTGGGTGGCTGCGCGTCGTTGGTTGCGGGATTGTTTGGAGTCAGGAGACGGCGGTTGTGATGTGGTAGGTAGGTGGGTGTTGGCGTTGAGTACCGATTTTCGGATCGCTTGCTTCTCTTGGCGTCGGCGTCGGCGTCGGCGTCGGCGGGAGATGGGCCTTGGGGGGTAGAGTCTTGGGTGTGGTCTCTGGTCTCTGGTCTCTGGTCTCTGGTCTCTGGTCTCCAAGGCTGCGAATACTCATTAATGTATAGAGCAAGCAGAGATTTCGGATTGTGTGTTTTTTTCCCCCCCGGGAATACTCAATGTAAGTGTTAAGAAAGCTGACTTGATGACTTCCTACGTGTTAGCCCAGTGTCCGTCTTCGGCAACGGACCTAGCTTCTCGAACCTCACCGGCTTCGGTACCCGTAGAGGGTGCGGGAGTCGACGCGCATATCCGAGGATATCCTCGTTGTTGTTTGCTATGCTCAGCAGCGGAAGGGCAACGAGCGACCAGGAGGACGAAGACATCACATCTCTATCGGGCCAAGACTCACCTGAGTCGATCCTCGCGCAGTCCTACAACTGCTTCCCGGCTCTTCTCTCTCAACGGGTCTACCCATCTCTCACTTACATCTATGCATTCATCCATATTCATTGTGAAAACAGAACACAGCAAGCTCGTGAGTGGTTTGCTTTCGACTGGATGTGCATATGCCAGATCGAAATATGATCAAAAAAGCTGGCCATGCTTCTGGAACGAGGCAGCAGCCTATCGAGATATGCATCTGTGTTTCGCAAATTTTGTTTGCTTGCTCTATGCTATGCACAACTATTTGAAGATCTCCTCGGAGATGGATGTATGTCCCGTAGTAGAGGCCCGCACGAAGAGCCTACCCCCCCCCCCCCCCTCAACCCAACGAAACGTACCATGAACACAAGCAGAGCAAACCGCCACCAACGCCCTTCTCAGATTCAGAAGCTGCCCTGATGCAAGCTTCGCAGCTCTTGCACCTGCTTCCGGCAAGGGTTATGGATCGCGTCCAGCATCCACGGGGTACACGGAACGGCCTTGAACGGCTTGCACGGCACGGGGTCGAGCTCCTCCCCCCCGTGGATATACTTCCACTCGAAGCGGATGTCGAAGTGCACGTCGCGAAGACGCAGACTGTCGTCCGGGCCGGGATCCGTGTAGTTGTCCCGGCCGATCTGCTGCCGGGCGCGCTCCTCGTAGCCCGTCCGCGCCAGGGCAAAGGTGAGAGTCTCCTGGTCCCACGCCCGGCAGAAGTCGTCCATGCGGATCGTGACGTCCCGCAGGCCGTCCCAGCCGCGGACCCGGTAGCGCAGCACGGCGAGGAAGGTGTGGCGGCGGATGTCCCGCGTCTCGGCGAACCCGGCCTGGTAGCAGGGGAGCTGGCGGACGTGTTGGATGCGGCCGATGACCCAGCGCGGGAAGTTGAAGTTGCAGCTCGAGGGCACCCACTCGTCGACGGCGAACCGGCTCGAGCCGTGCTCGAAGACGTCGGTGGCGAAGTTGATGTGGTAGGTGTTCCTCACGGCGCCGCTTGCGCTGCCTGCTGCCCATCGTCGGCTCTTGTCGCTGCACGAGGTGTAGTAGCGGCGGCCTTCGGCACGGGACTCGCGACAGACTTGGAGGAGGACCGGGTGTCTCGATTGGCCTTCGACGTTGGAGTTCCACGCCGAGACGGGGTAGGGCAGGTCAGAAACGAGATCGGTGAACTTGACAATCCTGTCGACGGACTGTTAGTGACAATCAAAAACACCCACAAGACAAAAAGGCAGAAGGGGGTGCTTGATCTCGTGCCTTGGCTCCATGGAAATCAGTCCCCAGATCTTGATGCGGATCTCAATCGGAAGCATGTTGAACAGGTGAAAGTTCCTCAAGACAGGGTGGGTCGTGATAGGATCGTGAGGAATCTGAAGACGCGGAAGACGTGACAGCAGCCACTGGAGGCGCGTCTTCACGATCTCTTGTACAGAAGAAGGAGGTTGGATTTCAAAAGCTAGCTGAATGGCCTCCTTGAGCTCGACCTCAGGATCTCTACTCGCAGTGCTCAAACCAGCGACGAGCTTGTCGACCTTGCACATCATCTTGAGCCCGTGAATCTTCTTCGCCATCGTCACAGGCCCCGTCACCGGGCGATTTCCTTGAGTGGCCGGAATGGCAACGACGTGGGTATAAACTTTCGGAAATCTGACACCGTGCCTGACAGCGAGTCTGGGTTTGGGGGCGAGTCGGGGAGCGCTGGTGTTATGCGTCAATGCCCAGATCACCCTGGCTGTCCCGAGACGTTTTCGTCGGACAAGCTTATAGCGGCCGATCTTCGATCTTCGCTGCGGAGCCGCCATCTTGAGAACGGGGGACTCCGACCTGGGTGTTGTTGTGAAGCTGGAAACTCGAGATCGAAGTTGAGCTGTCGAAATATCGACTCGGCCGCGCTGGGGATTTCGTTAGCGCGGTCTCGGTTCACTTTTAGCGTAGTTGGAGAGAGATGTCTATTCGACTTCCACTCTACTCAAGGCGGATTCTGATGGAACATGTTATATAACTGTTTGTAATCTAAAAGAAGCCGTTGCCGGTGCACTCCACATAGAAACACTGGCTTGAAATTATGTCTTGCTATCGACCGATATTGAAATGAGCTATCTATCTGCATTATGGCGATTGCGAGCTAGTCCTGAATCTATCGCAATAGAGCGTGTCTGCACAGGTCGCCATAGACAAAGTACCCCCCTAGTTGAAAGTGGAAAGTGAGCTCTGTAGCATAGCATTACAGTTAGATAATTTGCAGTACCTCGAGGGGTCGAGGTTCAAGGTTGATGAAGGATGTACTATACCTTCCTTCATTGATCACTGCTCACCATCCCTGCTCTTGTAGGTTCGCAGACCTTTTTCGATTTATATTCTCATAGCCTATCCTAGCACATATAGTAATAGCGCGAACCCTCGTGGCGAGCCTCTCGTGTTAGACGGAAGACAATGGACAGCTAGGTGTCTTGGCTGGCCAGCAACTTCCAGTTCCAGGTAGTGACTTTCTCGGGTGGCACTCGTGGTTCTTCGAGGAGGATCTGTCTCTGGCCAAATGATTAGCAAGAGGTTCGCAACGCTGAATTCAAGCAATTGAATGATATACTTTGGTTCTGTGGCCATAGGCTCGTAGATCCGGAATCTGGATCCCCGTAGAAGTCTTTGAAAAGGCTTTCATTTCTCCAAAAACGGGAGACGAGGGCTTGGGTGCAGTCGACCACGGCAAGTTAAGCCATTGAAGCCAGAAGACACTTGATTCTTGAGCCTGTTGAGTTCCAAAGCGGCGCGCAGAACGCGAAGTGTACCACGAGCGATGCCCAAATCATCCTCGACTGGTGGCGGCTCTGGAAACCCCGAATCCTGCAGATTGTCTTCTTTTTTGCACACATTTTGTTGCTGCGCTGGAACCTATGTGGAAAAATAATCGCGACTTTCATCGCTACGTTATTGCTTGAAGGTAACAAGAGACATACTTGCGTCATCGTTGTTCTCTAGCAAATTCCACTTCGGGCGCCACATCAGCTGTAAACGTCGGAACCTCGCGTAATCTGCTGGCTTTGTTTACGGCGCTCAGGGGAGGTCTGAGAAACTGCGACCCAGCTCAACATCATCACTCAATCAAAGTTCTGGATATCGTTAAATATCATCAAGTTCGATCAAACGTCCGAGGAACAACGACCCAGATCAAACTTTTTTGAAGGAGGAAGAAGCAATTATCACAGCATCTCCTTCGGCCTTACGTCTGCCCCACCGAAGAATTATGTCACACCCCGAAGAAGCCATGGAATGCTTCGCATCGAGCCACGAATCTTCACGAAATGCAGAAGAAGATGTGTTTTCCTCACAATCTCCCGGTACAGATAAGCCGAATGATGAGGTACCGATAGGGGAATACGGCGGTATCAATTCTGAGAATGAAGCGGGCGCGGCTGCACAGTAAGAATGCTCTTTCTTCCTCTTAATTTGGCATGGCTGACAACGCCTCTCTAATGAGTTTGTAGAACTGCGACCCCCGATAAGATTAAAGTCCTCGTCGGCGCGCTCCACACGGTCTTTCTCCTCGATCGCTCCCGCATCTGCTCCATCTCTCCCTACTTCGCAACGATCTTCGCCTCGCGCGCCACCCTTCAAGTAGTCCTCCCTGACATTGAGCCCAACTTATTCCAGCTCGTGTCTGATTGGTTATATACAGGGCGTCTAAGCGCGGATGCCGAAGACGATCTATATCTCGACCAACTCGTCGATGTCTACCTCTTTGGCGATCTTATCAGTTGCCATACCTTGAAGAACTACTCCATGGACCTCATACAAGACAACATGTACCGCCACGTCAGGTACGGCAGCGGAGGGATCAAGCTGTCTTTAAACCAGATTAGAAGGATATTTTCGGGCACAATGTGTGCGGAGGATGCACCGATCCGGAAGTTGGTTGCGGCGCTGGTATCCTACAGGTTGATCTTTGGAGATACGCCAGAGAGATTGGAGCCGATATTTGAGGTGCCGGGGTTCCTGAAGGACTTTGCGGCGTTCCAGAGAAGTTCACTGCAGGTGTCGAGCGATAAATGGTACCGGCCTGTCACATTGAGGGATGATCCGAGGGTCAGGGGCTACTATGATGATGGGGTGGCAGCTAAGGGCTTTCATGCCTGCTTTTTTCATGTTCATGAGCTGGGAGAAAAGTGCTCATCAGTCAGCAACTACAGAACAGGGAGCGATGGCTCGGGAATCGATGCAGCCGGCGAGCACGAACGGGAGGAAGGCTTCCGAGGTATGCCGCAGAGGTCTGCGTCAAAGTAGCTGAAGGACTAAGATGCCCCCAATGTGCAGAAAAAGCCAGAGAGCACTCTAATGACTACTTCCATCAGTGGCTGCGGCTGTCCAATAGACGCGGGAGGATTGCTTCCACAAGCTGATGTAACTCTCCAATTGACCCAGAACACACACTTTATCCCCGTCTCGGACTTGATATGAGAAACACTTAAAAGAATTTCTGTACTATATCAGTACTAAATTTGGGCTTCGAAGAACTCGAAAGAAGTCTACTAATCCTGATAGCCCGAGCGTCAACTGGGACGAGCAGACCACCACTCCTTATAACCTAACAGCCACCGCCGTCTCCCAGCAAAACCCTATCTAACTTCTGTGAAACATCGCTATTTCCACACACATTTCGTCGGAACACGCATATAGCGCATGGGAGGTCCTGGGTCCAAGCATTGCGTTTTGAATACCCGCCCGGCGTTAATAAATACAACAATAACAACAACAACAACAATAACCGCCTTCGCATACGCATACGCAAACCGAAGATTTTTCTATAATTGACGAGCCGCGCCGCCTTTTCTTTTCCTTGATACTTTCAATTACTTTATTCGATATTTGCCTACGGCAATCTGCTATACACGTTTATACCGCGCACTTCCTCAGCCATCTACAGCTCTCATTCGAATTTTTACAAAATCACGATTACTTAAATCGGCAGACACCGTTAAGAAAGGTGGAATATATAGATAAGACGCTTAAAAGGGCTTCAAATCCGCGAGCGTAGTAAAAGAAGTGACGTTTCGTTTCGCGATCTCGACGACGATAAAGCGAAAGAAAAGGAATCGGGATGAAGAGAGCTCGCCGAAAGAGTACTTTCAAATTTTTCGAAGTGTGTATGCACCAAGGCTCGATCCGAGCAATTTTTTTCGCTCTGCTTTACTCAATCTGGATAATAGGCTCGATACCTTTTTGTCACTTGTCAAAAGAACTTGCGCTTTCTCAAAGTCGGAAAAGAGTATCGAATTTTAGATTTTGATCGAGCACACTTTTCGTTTAAAAGCATTATCGATATTATCCGTAAAGGAACGGAGTGCTTAAACGTCACTCACTTATAACAACTTTTTCGAAATGTATTCGGAGGTATTCGAGAGGATATTTGGTCGTTTGGTTAAATGACTGTCTATAGTCCTTTCGCTTCGCACGTCTCCGTGCCCTTTAGGAGATCCTAAGACGAGGAACGCACGCCTCCCTTTAGTCCGCCAGACGCAAATCAATACTACGACTACTACTATTACTACTACTATCATATGATATTATTCTTAGCTTTTTCGCTTCCACGCAGTATCAAGCATAATCTTGGATCTAAGCTTCGGAACATTCCATGCAATACTACGGATGGCCAATTGCTGTTTCGCTGTATAGCATGCAAAGAAGGACTCTATCCTCGGATGGCCTTCCGCAATTCTAGTTTTAAGGGTCTGGGGCTCACAACACATTGAACCCGAAAGGGCATGAACCTTGCTCATACAACCTGAATCTTCAGGAAACGTTGGTAGCCAGTCTGAACTCGGATGAAAAGATTTCCTTGATAGATAAAAATCTCTGACACGTAACGCCAATGTTGGTGGCTGGCTATGGGATTTGATACATGGATATACATGGAAGCGGAACAGATTTAAAAGAGCAGAGACATTTGGATTTCGGTAGCTCCATAAAGACTATGGGGAGCCCTCAAGGCTAGAAGAAGACTTCTAAGTACATGATTCCCGTCCAAGAGCAGTCACCTTTGGTTGGGGGCGCCTGGGGCGTTAGGGCAGGTCCGAGGTCCTGGTGGCCTGATGCTGCCGCAATCGGTATTCTGTTGAAGCTTAGCTGAAAGAACTTGGACATCAAGACGATGATACTTACGCAGGCGACAGTGACCCCAACAGGGCAGTAGTTGCTCATATATGCAGGAAGGCAGCAATGATTAGGGAGTAAGCGGCTACTGTGTTGTCTGCCACAGGCCGCCTTGTCCTTCCAGCAGCAGTTCTGGGAGTTGATGCACTTATTATAATGTCAGGGAACAAGGCATAGTAGGAATAAACAAGATGTGGAGCTTATAGCGGTGGCGACCGATGAGAAGAATTTGTTCGCTTTTAAATACCGACCTAGGGTGATCTAGTAGCTCTGCCAACCTCTTGGGACCAACCTTAAAAGAGATCGTCATCAGATGGTCAGCTGACTGTTCAAATAACCCCTACCTGCCTTTAAGGTTATTTCAAAATCCTCCGCCCCTTTCTTCGGGATTTCGGGGTCAAGCGAGAAACCAAATCGTAGAATTTCCTAATGGAGCCTATTCATTCTGAGACCTACAAAACCCACGAATCCCGCGTTATCCTCGATAGCTCTTGCCTCCTATGATTGCTCAGAAAGGTCGCATAAATTTGTGGGCCGTAGCATGGCCTTTTTAAGGCTAGAGGCGGCTAGAGGTAATTGACACGGAGAATTTTGAGATAACCTTAAAGGTACCTTTTAGCGATCTGCCACCCTTCAGCATGTTAGCCAGACCCTGCTTGCTTGCTTGTCGGTATCACCTGCCAAAACCGAGCAGTCTTTCTGCACTTTGGAATTTTTTGCCGAGATCTGTTGCCGGACTATTTACTTTTAGCCGAAAGTTAAAGATCATACCAGCATAAGCTTGTGGATCAAGCAACGTATCGCGGCGTTAACCATGCTTCCCTAACAACGGTGATACCTCCGCTTACAGTCTCAGTGCGGCTACTTTAACGATTGAAACTTCGTTGTTACTCTGTACTCTGTACATATTTCAATATTACAGAGTCTGGTGCTGAGAGGATATCGGGATTCAAGTTAATCCGAAACGAAGTCAGAAATAGTTTTATCTCAGGAAGAAAGCGGGCAATTAAAAAAATTTAGATTGGCCAGCTCAGCCGACATTTTTTTTTTTTCCTACCGGCGCTGCTGAATTCCATATATCAATCAATAATCATCAACAAGGTACAACTACAGCTCCTCTTCCCTCCCACTCATAAACCTCACACTACTCTCCAACAACACCCTCACAATCGCCAGCTCATCCTCGTCCCTCGGCCCGTAAACCATCACATACGTGCTCGTGACGCCAAACAAGTTCCACCGTCCCAGCAACGGCCGCGTGCGTGCCAGCCGGTGCCGTTCCGCCCAGCCCCGCTCCACCACGAGCCGGGTGTCCGCGGGTGAAAAGTACAAGTGCATGGAGCCATCCTCGTGCACATGACCGATTTCTCCGCGCGAGATCCGCGCCGCGTCTGGGATTCCCGAGGAATTCGCGTCTTGGAGCAGGCTCGGGCGCAGGAAGATGGCGTCGTGGTGTCGCTCGTACAGGGACCGCTTCTTCTTGAGAAGAAGGGGGTGCTTGCTGACCATCTCGTCAAAGACTTCGTGTAAGAGCTATGTATGGCGACGACCGGAGCATTATATCAGCCTATGCAATAGATGTTCACCACGTGATCTTCGTAACGTAACGACGTAATATGAGATGGGGTTTTTTTTAGGCAGCCTACCTTCTTCATCGCCTCTGGCGCGTTCTGTGTGAGTTGACGGTGCGGCGCAATGCCTTTCAATACAGCCCTCTCCCCCTTCCTTGGCTGCAAGGCCTCGATCGAGGCGTGTGCACCTTCACGCGGATACTCGTCCATCCGCGTGGCCTCTTCTTCGCGGAGCGCAAAGGGCCGTACGAAGATGGTGAGAAGTGCCCACCCGAAGAAATTATAAGGGATGCCACCTCGTCCGAGAGCGAGGAAGGCACGGTAGTCTTTGATGCTCCATATAGAAGCGGTAACGAAGGCGCCGACGAGGGGGATCGCTATGGCGCGGGGACTCCGAATGAAGGAGAGGACTTTAGGGTCGAGGAGGGAAAGGTTGGTCATGGCTATCTTGCTGGGTCTTGAAAGACAGAAAATATTACATGGGATTGTTTCGCCTAAGATTATAATAGTCGAGGATTGAAGCTGATGTTGAGAATAGTGCGACTTCAGCCGCATATGTAATTGATGAAGTGAAGGTGAAGCGAGTCTCGCTTCCCCGCCGTTGCCCCACCAATCTTTCCAAACATCAGAAAAGTGGGATAAGCGATATATCATATCAAAAGTCGTCGCGGCGATTAGCGATAGATATCACGCCGACATTATTAATCAAAAGCGCTATGCTCACATTCAATCCAGATCTTTATAAAAAAGAATTAGAGCGAGTGGTAGTTAAGCTCAAACATACTAAACCGGTGATTCAAAGGATTAACGAATTTTAAGACACATTTCCATCTCAATCCAGCGTCATCAATACACCTTTCTCTAAAAATCCCTATCCGCTCTGATTTATTGCGTCTTTAGAAATGTATTTCTAATAAGTTAAGTCACATTATAGCCATAATAATCGCAACATCGACCTCATCTCACAATCCTCATTCCACCTACCCATCTATCTATCCATCACCTACCTACCACTGTTATCAAATCACGAATACACAAATACACAATCCTCCAAATACACAAACCCTCCAAAGTCTCAAATCCCCACTGAATTTACAATCTACAAAACGCAAGCAACTATTATGCATATTTAAATATATATTCCCAAAGTCCCAATCCTCAACCCTCAACCCTCAACCCTCAACCCTCAACCCTCAACCCTCAACCCTCAACCCTCAATCCTCAATCCTCAATCCTCAATCCTCAATCCTCAAAGAAGCAAAGAAATATCCAAAGAAAAGGGTCAATTGGATTATGGCGGGAGAAGGGGGAGAGGGGAGAGTTGCTTGGAAAGGAAAGAATAAGGGGGCGTAGAAAGAGCGAGTTGGAACATTGAATTCGGGGACTGGAGGTGGATGTTGCTGAGTTACGATAGGTGATGGACGAGATGGACGAGGCGCGGCTTTATAACGAAAGGTGGTGCTGAAGAGATTCGCTTAGCCGGGTTGGTGGCGAATCCCGGATTGAAAGCGAGAAATGTAGAAATGTATCATCCGTTCCGAAAGCAGCAAACCCTGCGTAAAGACCATTCATTATAGCTCAAGCCATAAGTTGAAATAATCAAAATCCGATAGACATTGCATCGGTCCATATACACTTGAAACTTTTGTAGCAATATCATACAGGTAAACTCCCTCGTAGCTACTATCTATTGTACCTTCTTCCCTCTCGTCGTCAGCTTCAACGGCACGGGTTTGCTCCACAACCACAGCGCCACAAACGCTATCCATCCAGTAACAGTCGCACCAATACCTGCAATCCAAGGCCATGCACCGCTGATGACCCAACTCCTGGGCCACTCGTCGTGGGCAAAGTGCCTGACAGTGACCGTGTTCTTCTCCTCAATGTTGGTGTAGAACGGTCGCTTGTAGTTGACCTTGAAGTTGAAGATGCCGTGTTGGTCAGGCAGCTTGAAGGAGGTGGTGTAAATGCCCCAACCAGAAGGCGTCTCTACGTATTTCAAGGGGAGACGGTGGAAGGGGGATAGCATGGAAAATTCTAGTTGAATAACGTCGCCTGCGGGAGGGACAAAGGCGCGGTAGCCGTCCCAAGACCACTCGCGAATCTCGATATTGTATGTCTGGGGAGAGTTAACACGGTGTCATCCCACAGGGAGAAGGGTACGTACAACATCGTTCTTCACTCGGTAGATCTTGGGGTTGGTGTCATTGCTCTTGACACCGTTCTCATTGAGGTAGTGTTCAATGCTGAAGACCTTCAAGACACCAATCTCCCCGAATGTCCAGCCAGTGATTTCTTTGGCGAATTCTCGGTTCGAAGTGGCGATCTTCTTCTCTCCTGTTCCCGCACCGCCGACACCTACGCTGCGCTGGACCTGGGCATCAAACCAAGTATCCTCGAGCATCTCGGCCGATCCAAGGACAGTGAAGCGGGCAGAGTTGCGTGCCTGCATCGCGGTCACCAGCGATAGCTGCTGACCAACTGCAAATGGGTCCTCAGCGACTTCAGCCTCCTCTTTGGGATTGTAGGAGAAAGCGGTTCGGGGAGCTCGGAGGATTGGAGTCAGCAATGGGCTGTTGTTGCCGAGCGTTTGCCCGACAGTTCCAGGGAGCGCAATGACCTCGTCACCAGCCCCACTGCCCTTGAAGAAGTTCTGCACATCGGGCCTGATGGCGTCAGGTCTAGGTACAAGCAAAACATCGTGGTATTGCGAGGCTGAAATAGTATCGTAGTTGAAGTGGTCTACGACCAACGAGGTCCGCTCAGGGGGAAGATGGATGTCGAGTTCAAGGAGCAGCGAGACGAGCGACGTCGGAGTGGGAATGGAGGAGGAGAGGGCCAGGAGGATGTTGCCGCCGCTATTGATGAAGTCGAGGAGGAGTTTGGGGGTGAAGTTGGGGCCGAGTCCTGGGGGGAGTACAGATCAGCACCACATTCCACTCAACCTGCGATTGAAGATATTGTATCATATCGTATATGCTGTCTACGCACCCTTCGTCTTGGAGGGGAGAATCAGGACGTGGTCAAATGTCCGCTGGCCCAGGTGGAACAGAGCCAGCGAGTCGTTCTTTGGTGAGTCAAAGGTCAGGGAGAACCCTCTATCTGCAGGCGGAAGAATATCAACATTGATCATTTTCAGTCATTGGTTGAGAGCCCTAATCCTTCTGGAAATAATTGGAAATTCCCGGGAGACTCGCACCTTCGAGATCCGCGATATATTTCGAGTATTTGGCCTTGTCTGTTTGGGACTGCAGCAGCACCAGCGCCCGGTAGTGCCCTTCGTAATTGAGCGCTTCCACCAGGGACGTAATCCCCAGCAGGATGGCAGGAAGGGAGAGGGAGCAGGACAGTGACCACCTCATCGTCGCTGGTTGGTGTTATGGTGGTTGTGATGGGAATTTGGGCGATGCGATGCGATACGCGCCGGGCTGGAGCTTTAGGAATTAGGAAACGTATGTCGATGCTCACAGATGCCGGTCAACGGGCGAACATTGATCCATGGATGCACGTGACTATACTTTGGATCAGCTTCCAATCTGAGTCTCGGGAATGCTCTCAAGGCAAGTCAGCTTCAAACAACAGTCGCATACATCACAGCGCCTTCATATTGAGGAGCGTTTCTATACTGTACGTCTTCAATGTCCCCTATTGTAGCCAGTGCTCCAGCTCACCCTGACAGCCACCATGTCGAACGCCATCCCCCGATTCTGGTCGCAACCCATCCGCTACCTCCGCTGGGCCTCCATTGAGAAGCCCGCCATCTTCTACTCGCTCATTATCGGCAGCATGGGTCCTGTGGTAGCCATGACTGTGCCGCCCATCAGGAACATGCTGGGGGATCACAAGAGACCCGAGATCCCGCTGACATATCCAAGTAGGTGCTGGAAGGACGGGGATTGGAATGGGGATGGGGATAGAGAGAGCAGTGAAGAGCTGGACTTCGCTGGGCTGGGCCATGGGAGCAGCTGCTGACGATGCGACAGTTCCGACCGAACCGCGAAAGAAGCTCGAAGGTTTCGAGGACAAGTGATGGGATGGGGGCAGACGGTGGAGGGGTTGGTTGAGGGGCTGGGCTGTACATATCCAGGCGTTATAATGGAAGCATCTACTGCTGCTGCACGGAAACGACGACGAAACTTGGCCTGGTGGGCTTGGGTACACCACTCTCTATCTGTGCAGAGGTATGCGGTTGGGCTGGGAGTAATGGTTTGGAACATGAGCTTGTTCATGAGTTCAATTCCACCCGTCGAATCCAGCATCATATTTTCCCAAACAGTTCACTCAGTTCACTGATGCTCGCCCGCATAGAAGAACACATGAATCAATCGTCGGTGAAGACTGGCTCTGTTGAATTGGGTAGGTGCGCAGTGGTGTATTCATTCCGAATCCCATGTATGCTACTCACTGCAGAGCTTTTTCGAAGCTTCAAATCTCTTGTTAATGCTATGCATGTTCACTTCGCTTCAAGTCTGTACTCATTCATTTATTGCAATGTCCTGTAGCATCTACTATCCAGCCATCAACCACTCAGTTGGTTAGGAAGCTCTATGGAGGGCAAAGGCAGAGGCCGAATAAACCGTGCCCATACGATGGAATGCAATGCTACAATCGTTTCTTGCCTGTGACTGACATAGTCAACGGCTTCTTTTCTCCCGTTTTCTCTCTTTCTTTCCTTGCCCTTCTCCTTGCTCTCATCATCCATCTCGCCCACGTCTCGTGGTTTCATTCATTTCCGTAGCAATCCAGGCAGAACTCCCAGCCCAGCTTCCAATCTCGCAAACTTCAACTTCAACCCATCCCGCCCCTCCTGCATTTATTCTAGCGAGGTCTCAAGAGAGACAATTCGATCGACACCCTTCTGACGGTACCGACGACAGGCGAGTTTGTTGAGAACACGCCTCTGGTCATTGCCGCGAGACGAATGCGGTGGCGAGACGGATCTCGAGGCCGAGGGCTTGGCAGACTTGCTGCATCTGGACGTGGGCTTGGACCTGGACGCTGTAAATGAGTGACGAGATGTTGTTAAACATTTGCTGTTAGAAGCTGGAGTCCGAGCAGAAGGTTGGAACTGGTATGCTTGATCCTCCACCGCCGGCGACCCGTCCCGTCCTGTCCAAGGAGCACCTCTCAGATCCCACGTGTTCTTGAAAACCGTAGTATCCGTCATTTCCAGGGCTTCGGCGGGGACATGATCCCACATACAACGGCGTGTCGAATTCCCGGCTGGGACCGTCGTTGAAAGACGTGAGCGGCATGTCGAATGGAAATAGGAGGTCCCAGAAACCGCTAACGGTGTCCATTGGAACCGCTCCTGCAGGATTCGGTGGTGGCCCAGCGAAACTGTGATCAAGTGCGAAATCTGCCGGGAATGTGTGATCCGGTGACCAAAGATAACTGGGATCCGGAAACGAAAAATCGGGCAGTGAAACTCATGATGGAGGCGAATAGGGAACGCTTGGTTCGAGCCCAGACCAAGCGCTAAGTTCTTCTCCTACGTAGTGTGTTGCTTAGCAGAAAAGCACTGGGAGGGCGAAGTTCATTGCCATATCCAAGCTGCTGTTGGATTCTAGCCAGTTGCTACCGAAGAGGAGTCTCTGGCTGGTTCGGGATTTCTGGTTCAATAAGGCTGAACAGCCTATGCTCCTGGAAGAGAACTGCTTCGTTCACGACTCGTCCGACTGTTTCTGTGTGGAAATCTATCACAGCAGGGACTAGAAGGGTGATATGATTGATCTTCTAGCTTATCGGTATTGGGATACGGTACCTATACGCAGAGCAGAGATGCGGGATCCTCTCCAGGCCTGTCAGTTACACGCGCCTGAGGCTGCGAGGAAGTATACAGGGGATCTAAGGAATCGAATGGGTCGATTATTTCCCATGCCTCGAAGAAAGTGGAGTTGTATTTCCTATGCTTCAACCTACTTTTTAAGTGGGCCCGCCTAGCCAAATCTACTCGCTGCTTTATACAAGAAAATTTTTTCAGTAATGCCGCTTATACTAGAATCCTATACTATTGCAATTCTCGTATTATTATCGCGATTTGTTTAGCTACAATAGCGGAAATCCTTACTACTGACGCTGCTTTAGATGCTTTATTACAATCTTCGGACGCTATATTTGACGACCTCGGCTTCGGTATACTCGATTCTGATATAAATACAAATCCATTTCTTAAAGATTCTTAAGAGAAACCTGTTTCAATTCAGTAAGGCGATGTATTTCATAATCTCAAAGCTTTTAAAAACGCAGTACTCAATCAAGCTATTCACGAGCGATAAGAGCTTAAGTGTCCGAATAGCGAGAAGACTCATATGAGATACGTATGCTACTTTAACGATACATGCAAGTGGCGCGCTCGTTGCAATTACGACGTTCGAGCTGAAGAAGCTACGGTATCGGTATGGTAAGGAAAACATACATGCTTTAATCGTGTTCGTTATACAAGACCGTTAGTTGCGCGGACAGCGTATCTATTAGAATTGATTTTTAAGCTGATATCGGTGACTAAAAACACACATGTGTCTTTAATTCGCGATCAGGTTCAGCGCTATATCGAGATTTTGATTTAAGAATAATTAGCATACAAGATAAAACGATTGTTAACTAAAGATACAGCTGCTTAGCAAATCAACGACTTCCTTAAGCTTCCTTGCTAGCTCCGACGGTTACACGAAGCTAATCTTTATATAAGCTGTGAGCCTCACAACGATACTTTAGTCACCGATCTCTTTACGACCGAAGATAAAGTATTTCGCCGTATTTTTATCGGACCGCATACTTCGCAAAATCAATTCATATCTTTAATACCTTTCGTTGCGCTAAACGGAATATACTTGCGCAATTGTTTCAAGCAGACTTTGCTTCTTGCAGTCGGACGCAATAGTAACAACGAGACTTTTATTATTGCGTAAGCTATAATAGAGTTAGAAAACGACGAATCTTGGTTTTAGTTCATCGAGCGCTTTATTCAAACCGTACTTTCTTTTGCAGATCACCTCAATTACGATTAACATATCCTTTGTATTATTTCCGATCGCAATTCTTCTCTTTTTAAAGCAATCGCGACCTTTCTTCTTTACGTCACCGACGTATATTGCTGTTAGCATCTTTTAAAGAACGTCTTTAATATTACGAAGCATGCGAATAAGAAAGCAATTAAAGAAGCTTGATAAGCGTTCTCATTTGCAAAAAACGATACACAATAGAATCGCGCGATTGCAAAGATGCAATTATTTAAAAGGAAAGAAGCTGTAGAATATATCGAGGGTTTAGATAAGAGCAAGTTTTGCGTATAAAAGATTCTAAGACCTCGATACAAACACAATTCTTCCGGCATTATTAAAGGTTAAAATAAACACATTCGAGAGCTTCGAGAGATAAGAATCATAGAATTGATAGACGCGCTTTAAAATCGTTCTTCGCGCAAGCGTTTAACTACATACCTTGCTGCAAAGAAATAGATGGCAGACCGCTAGCGATACACACCTTTTGCGCGGAAGAAAATTATAGCTAATACTCTTTAGTCTCGCAAAAGCGCTCAACAAGCTTTAATCACTGCGCACAACGGCAGAGATAAGGTATTAAAAGCACGGATTCGCTGCTAATACGACGGCGTCGGAGAGCGTATTCATATCGTTCGTTGTTAAGATTTTTATTGCTTTTGCGGACAATTTCAAAAGTAGCGATTACTTTGCAGCCACGCTATTACGACAATACGATTTGCGCAACGAGAAGTTTAAGAATAAGTTGATAATATGTAAGAGCCTTTTTATGTAGTTAATAAAAGCTAATATCGCGTTATTAAAAAGGAAGAGATAAGAGAAAGAGATAAATTGACTGTTATTAATAATCATATGCGTACAATCAAGGTCGACGATATTGTTTTAGATTAGATAGATAAGACTTGCACTGCGCTTCTTTTTAAATTAAAAATTAAATCAAAAGCAAACTAAAAAAAAAGGAAAGAGATTAAGGATATGCTAAAGAAGCCGGCAGAGCTATATTCTTATAGTAATTGTAGTAAAATTAAACACAATCGGAGGAATAAAGTGTGTCTAATGTATAACCGCGCTAAGCGATAGAATTGTATTTATTTATTTTTAATCGAGAACTTTAAAACGAGAACTTCAAAACGAGAATTGCAATAGTATAAGATTTTAATATAAGCGGCATTACTAAAAAAATTTTCTTGTATAGAGCAGCGAATAGATTTGGCTAAGCAGGCCCACTCAAAAAGTGGGTTAAGGCATAGGAAATACAACTCCACTTTCTTCGAGGCATAGGAAATAATCGACCAATCGAATGGTACTATTTTTACTTTATTTGGATTTGTAATTATTGCGCAATAAAGAAGTGATAGCTACTACGTAAATGTCTAAAGTTGATTTTAATGTTCTCGCTTAAGTGGCCAACAGCATTGCTATACTAAATATCAAGGTCCGTGCGCATTCGAATAGCCACGCCAAACGTTAAAGGAAGAATAAGGGCGATCTACCACGGTACAGGCCTAA